TTCGTCATCAAGAGAATTTATGCAGAAAACGATTACTTTCAAACGATCCAATATGTGAACTTTTGTAACCATGCTTTCGGCATGTGATACAATACTTTTATGCTATCTACAAAAATATCTAAACCAAACTAGGTGTCATATCACAGGTCATATGTAACGTGCCAAGCTAAAACATATAGGACGATTATCAAACATTTTGACATTATTTACCTAGCTCAAAACGCATTATGATATTTGATTTCACGCATCTTAGCTCGCCGTTTGCTAACAGTTTCACTTACTTTATTAAACATATATGCAGTTTTGTATTGTGATTACATGTCTTATATTTTTCACGAGAATTCATAAAATATACTAGGGCACTAGTATTTTTTGTGTGCACAATATGAAATTCATTAAATAACTGGTTAAACCGGGTCCAAGAGAAAGCCCCTAAGAGCTTGTTTAGCTAGTTTCTCACCAACTGTAGAGAGTCCGATTCAAAGATCACAATTCTGAACTAGAGGGCGATTGCATGTTCCATCGCCAAGCGTAATGCGAGTCCCTCTGCCACAAGGGACGAACTGACCAAAGCAATTGATTCATTGTGAGAGATGATCCTCTCATTTCTACCATTGTAGAAGTTCCAAGCAACACATGCTGCATTTGGTTCACTCTCTCACGCGCCATCAGACCTACAAGTTAACTCAAATCCAGCCACAACACACGAAAGAGGTTTTGAAACATTACTGCGAGGTAAAGTAGATTGAGAACTTTCCTCTTCATTTGCTTCAACAATAGCTTTAAGAATTGTCTGTTGAGATAAAAATTCTCGTTGTTGGAAGGTTTTATAATTTCGTGCTGTCTAGATGGAGGCTATGATTCATGGAGCTAAGGGACACTCGGTGAGGCCAGTGGGAGGAAGAACCGTTGCCTTTAGAGTTCCATTCCGAGTCGAAAGAATTCAGATTAACCAAATGAGATGTAGTTTTGTCTTGTAATGTATATGTCATCCAGGACCGACTCTGAAATTTTGGAGGGGTCTAAGGCGATATTTTAACGATTTCAACTAAATTTTTTTTTTGTCGACTTACCCCAAAACCGACCCTGACGTCATCATAACCGAGCCAGCCAACAATGTCTAGACTCTCTCAATCGGTGAGGCCAACAATGTCTATACTCTCAATCGTCCAATGGATTCAATATAATATAAAAATAGAAGTTTATATACGAATTAGGTTTCTAGTCAATGGCACTCGAATGATTCAGTCGTTGTTAGATTTTTTAATTTGTGCATCTTACGAAATTGGTTTGTTTGAATTCATCCTTATATTAATATATTATAATATACACTCATTCATATTAATTAGTTAAGAATGGTATTAGAGAGAACACATGACTCCTAACAACAGGAAAAACTACAATTGTCTTTATTCATTTATTTTTCTAAAATACAAACGGATTTGACAAGAGCTCTTTTGCATGACCTTTTGTTATTATTTTTAGATGCGTTCTCTTGTATGTGTGTCCATGATCAAATGCGGTTAATTGGTTTTATAGTTTTATTCAGCATAAATAAAAATTATGTGTATTTAAGATGTTGGATATATTAGTTGAAAATTATTCAAAATCACATACAAGATATTTACAGATTTATAGAATTTATAGTAATCCATTTACATAATTAGTTGAAAAAGTCGTATAAAATGATACTCTCTTAAAATGTTTTTACATGTTTTGAATTTTTTCTTTTTGATTCACTCGCATATTCACAAGAGTTATATCAAGTGTCAATAATGAAGAGATTTTTTTTTTTTTGGGGAAACAATTTATATAACTATTTGAACAAGGAGAAACACTAGCTTCATAATCTCAAATATGAGAGATTAAAGTTCTTCATCATCCACCACTACACGCAATATATTGAGGTAGTGATCACAGAGTGATTTATGATTGTTGGAAAACAATTTTCAATTGATATTCTTAAAGCAATAAAGATGTTTATGTAGCTTAAGCGATATCATGTCTCTCTGTACAAAAAATGAAAACGCAAAAGAAAAAAAAAAGTTTTTTATGTAACACTATCTTGTATTACATAGATATGAGTCTAGGCATGACCAAATCATGTAAATTTTAACCAAAATCCAAAATGGTCTAATTTCTATCACTTCACATATGTAAACAAAGTTATTAGTTAAATTCTTACAACAAACAATTTTATATCACGTGAGATTTTGTACATTTATCTTCTTATAATAGAATTATGTCTAATACATACAAGTTGACGAAAATGATATATAAATATTCGTTGGAGATAGGGTTTACATTAATGGCCATGATTAATTATGCTTGATGAAAGAATCAATCAAGTAGATTAAGACGTGATTCTCATAACATTTTGCTTTAATTTTTCTTTCTGATTTTGTTTTTAAGCTTGATATGGAAAGTGATTAAGGACCTCCTCAATTGTCTGCTTTGTTAAATATGATTAGTGACCTTCTTAACTCACTGAAAGGTCACACAAACAACGGTAGAGCACACTACTACAAAAAGTTGTAGAAATTTTAGGTATTTATCTTAAATTTCATTGTTAAATACTATAAGATTTTTTTTTCGTTATATGTATTAAGAAAAAATCATATGCTTTTCATACCATATAAATAGTTGACTTTTCTTCAAAAGCATATATGTACATATTCCATAAATTTGAATACGAGCTTAATTTCAGTAAGTATATGGGCATATATTTATTCACTTATATATATAGGTTTATATTACAATTATATAACCGCTGTACTAAATAAATAGATGTTCGTGTAGAACATACATAAAATCACAACTGAACTGAAAAATCATGTAGGCATCTCAAATAATCATATCATCTCATCTCTTTAACACTCTGTAAAGTTATCATTGATGGAATAAAATTAATATATATGGACGTTTTATTCTTTAAAATATAAGTTCACAAACAAATGTAGGCTAATCTCTCGAGTATCACAGTTAGATTGCAAGATTATATTCCCGATCAAGATATTTGCGTTCTTAAACAAGAAAATAAGAGATATTACTGTGTTTGTATCAGTTCACAGGCTCAATATATGGCATTACTTAAATGTAAAATCTATAGGCCTAATTAGTCCCAGTTTTGGGTCTCGGCCCAGTACGTAGATACAAAATTACATAGTTCTGGTCCAACTAAATAAATATGGTAATAATAACTGGTAATCATGGCTTGACCGTATTTTGAGAACCATACACAATATAGTAAAAAACTTAATAATTTTTTAACTGATAAAAGTTCCATTTCTGTAAATATTTTTAAAATATATATATACATTAGCTTCTAGAATTAAAAGATGTTTCTAGTTAATCGTGCCGAAGACCGGTTTTACTTCTAATAACATGTGGCATGGTCAAACCAATGAATGGTTTAGCGTAGAAATAAAATCTTTAAGTTGGACCACAACTCGTTTCTAAGCAAAATGGTTAAAAAGTATTATACTCAAAGCTTTCGTTTTCATGTATTCGCGATAGAATTTGCTATTCCATTGGGTTGCGTAGAGCTTCGTCCAACAAAATTAGCATGTAAGATAATATCCTTTTGACCCTTTTTAAACTAAAGAATGGTAGTTTAATGGCATGCGGACTTGGAGTACTTAAACGTCTCAGATTTGAAGTAATTCTTGACACTGCATTCATGTGGCCTACGGATATGAGATTATATTTTGAATTTCATTTGAAGATATGATTCATCTGTGCGTTATACCTTCATTTTAGAATTTCTATATATTTCAAACTAATAAAAGGAAAAATATTCTTATTGGTATTTAGAATGGTTATGTATTTCATATTTAATTAAATTAATTGATTACTTAGATAAAATTAATTAAAAATGTATCTGTCAAGTTTTTGATAATGAGAAAATGTGTATAGATTTATTTTGGCTCTAAACGGTGGGGTCTTCCCTGATTAAAAATAAAAATAAGAAAATCAGCATAGACGAGTAAAAAGCGTTTCTGTGTTTGAAACTTGTACGGCGTTAACTGTTACTAGTTTAGGAAATAAACTATTCCATGATGGTCAAAGAAGCTGCTCACGTTGAACCACACGTGCAATTTCGGGAAAACCGAAACAGTCCGATCTTATCTCCAAACTCCAAGTGGTCTTTAAGATTTGGTCATCTAGTGATGCTCAATGTATAACCGTCACTATCCTATTCCCATTTAGCAGTACACATATCTATTTAGATATACACAGTGTATCTGACAAATTTTGAACATTAGTTTTAAGCTTTACGACTAGAGGCTACAGCTGTACATTGCTGCTTCAAACATTACGTCTTGGTATATTTCATCGTACATAAATATATGCACAACTATCTCGTGCTAAATTATTTTATATTACACTCCCTCCACTTTTTTATGATCTTTTGGCTTAGCACAAAAATTAAAAAATAACATTTAAAAAACAAATATTTTTAAAATATTAAAAAATATCTTAAAATTTCAAAAAATTAATTATTTTAAAACAACATAAACCTTTTAAAACATATAATTTGAAATCGGATGGAGTATGTTATATATACAGTTTTTAATACAAAATATATACTAGTTGTTTAGGCTAGTCATCATCGCTGATGAAGATATGAATGTGGTCATGTACTCTGGCTATTGTTAGCGTCAGCAAAAGATAACAAATTATCTTTTTTTTTGTTACTTTGATGGCGTTTATCACAAACTATGAAAGATATTAATACATGGTCGTTTATTAGTTACTAGTTCACGGATATATGTTTATGAATAACGCTCAAAAATTTTAGGAAGAAATTTCAATTTTGTAAGTGTTAAAAATTATGGATCTATATTATATATCTCCAAAAAACCAAATGTCTGTCACACTAAAAAAATTCTATTGTTCCTTTTTCAAAAAATGTTATTGTAGGTGAAATAGCTGGATCGGATACAATAAAACGATCGATAAAAATAACTATGAAGCGAGGCGACCAAATATAACAAATATCGTAACCTGATTTATAGCAAATCAAAAGTTTGCAAAAATGTACCCTTGAGGACGAATGATATGCAAGTGGAACCTAAGCCTAACCCCCAAATAATTACAATTTTCTACACTATTTTACCTAATCAATCTGATACACAAAAATACAATTATGTTTCTTTTTATTAGTATGTCACCATTACACATTTAAATAAATCCGAAACCATCATGCTGTTGATCCGAGAATCTGAATCCATTAACCGGGTTAACACTGAAACTCTGATCACTAGGCAACACACCCGAGTTATTAAACCGAGGAATCCCCTCAGCTTCTTGCTGCTTCTTGTCGTCTTCTTCATTTGTCTTTACACCTTGAAAATAACCACCACCGTCTCCGTAACGGAGGCTTGAAACGTTATGAATCGGTCTAAGTTCCGGGACCGAGTTATGTCCACCAATATTCGCCCACCCAAAGCTTGGCTCCCTAGCTAAATTTTGAAACCCGGTTTTCTGTTCGGTTAAACTCGGTCTAAATGCGTTTGATGAACCGGCTTCAAACCCCAAACTTCTGTTATCTATCTCATGTAACGACTCGAGAACATCGTTGTATTGATGAGACGAAGATGACGTGGACGAATCATTGTTGCTGTATTCTCTACCACTCGTCATTAGATTACTATAAACCTGTTTTTGTGCGCTTGATTGCTTCTTGTATATACGACATAAAACCCAATCATCAAGCTGTGACAAAAATTATATTTTAAAATGTTATTAAACAAACAAAACAAACTAGTTTGATATATATTAATTTATTTGAGTTTACATATATACCTTGGTGCTTCCATATTTACGAGAGGGTTCGATGAGACGATACTCATGCATGATCCAATTAGTTTTGTTACCTTTTGGTGCTTTTCCGACGTAAAACACCAAAGCTTTCTTGATCCCAACTCTTCTTCCTTCCGTCGATATAACCTTATCCGTTCCGGTGGCTTTCCAGTAACCCGACCCGGCAACCCGGTTAGGTCTCGACCCGTTAGGATATTTCCTATCCCTCGGGCTGAAGAAATACCATTCTTTTTCTCCGAATAAAGCCTTACCTGTACAAAACCAAACAACAAGAGCTAGAAAAATTACATCTACCATATATATAGACTATCTTTGGGTTAAAGTTAAACCAAACCGGTTAAGGTAACGTACTTGGTAAGACCCAGGGATCGAACTTATAGAGATCGATCTCGGCTATGAGCTGGAGAGAGAAGTCGTGACCAGCGGCTTTTCTGCATAGATAATCAACCATAAGTTCTTCATCCGTCGGGTAAAACCTGAAACCCGGTGGTAAGCTTAGCTGGGTTAACGGGTCAAGTTCTTGGATACCCATTTTTCTTTATCTACTAACGTCTACAACTTTTTTGGTACTTGGTTGAACTTTCTTTTTGTGTATTTTTTCACAACAAAGATCTTGAAACTTTGCTACTTGTAAGTGCTTATGTATATTTATAATATACGTAGTGAGAGATACAACACAGCCGCCCAACCTTCGTTAACGTGCAGCCTCAGTATGGGTCCCACCTTTGAGTTTATCGTGATTTATGCGATCCCTATGATTCGTTGAACCTAAACCTATGCAAGAAAGTTGATTATTATAAAATAATTAAGAGTTTAATTAATTAATTTATGTGTGCGTCTGACTGTATCCGCCTCCAAAGAGTTTTTTTACTGTTTTCCCATGTGTTCTTGTCAAAGGTTTCTCAAGAATTAGGGAATCGATGTTCACACAGTCGAAATGAAGATTATCTGATTGTTTAAGACTTTATTTTCCAGCAATTTACGCGTTATATTTCTTTGAAAATATACGAAAAGTACAAAAGGATTTTATTTTGTCAAGAAGAAAAGACACGTGTAAGTGAATGATGGGCTGTGAGTTCATGAAATGGTAACAAGTAGAGCATTTTTCATACGGATGAAACTACTATGAAAGGACAGGTGTTTGGTGATTATAGGTTGAGTTAGGCGGGAGTATTTTCCTGTCAAAAAGCCATTACAGATGAAAGAAAGATGAACACCAAACACGAGCTGATGATGTAGACTCTCCATTTTGGTTGACTACAACATCAGATAAGATATAGGTCCGATTGTCCGAACAAATTATCCGAAACCAATTAACGTATTACTACTAGGGTGGTAGGTTCAGGGGGTTTTATTGGTTGAAATCGATTCTATTAGGCTTGAAATAGATGAGATTTTAAAAGTTTTGATTCAGTTTACAGTTTAAGAGATGATTCATCTAAAATTTTAAATCCTTTTTAAAGTATTTATAAAATCAAAAAGGATATCAGTTGATTTCTATAACAGAATTGAGCTCTGCTTTAAAAAGATTATAATTTTCAATTTAATTTCAAATCTGAAGAAAAAAACTATAGTATTATAAGCTGAAATTAAAATACCTAAACACACACTAAAATATATCTTCACAAAGATCACTAATACACGACGAAAATATCAATTATATGAGAAGTAATATGAATTATTACGTTTGAAATTATTGAATTTGAACAATCTAATAAGAAAAATATTGGTTTGATAAAAAAATATTTTTTAATTTTATTTTGGAGAGATCTAGGTCTGATCAAAGAAAACATATTTTTATAATCCATCTGTTCCATAATAAGTGTCATTTTAACCTTTTTTTCTTGTTACAAAAAAGTGTCACTTTAGAATTTCAATGCATCTGTGTGAAAAAATACCTAATCACATTATACATTTTTATTAATGTATGTTCAATTTATTTTCATGGTACATGTACATCGTTTCTAATATTTTAATGTGTAATTTAATAAAACTTCATATTACACTTAATTATGTGGACTAATCTTTGTAAAATATTTAATTTTTATAGAAATGGAGACAAATAAGGTCACAAACCTCTTTAATTTTCATCTCATATCAGTGCATGATGAAGTTATGCATTAAAACAAAATATCTAATCACATAATACATTTTTATTAATGTATGTTCAATTTATTTTCATGATACATGGACATCGTTTCTAATATTTTAAGGTGTAGTTTAATAAAACTTCATATTACACTTAATTATGTGGACTAATCTTTATAAAATATTTAATTTTTATAGAAACGAGGACAAATAAGGTCACAAACCTCTTTAATTTCCATCCCATATCAGTGCATGATGAAGTTATGCATTAAAACAAAATATCACTTTTAATTTATCTTACCAAAATATCTAGTGTTTTCCAATAAATACTATACATATACTAAAGTCTAGCCTCATAAATGTTGTTTTAAAATACCTAACCACACTCTAAATCTATATTCAAGTATGCTAAACATATTTTCAAGGTACATAGACATCATTTACAGTTTTCTAATGATTATTATTTTTTTGAATTCAGATACGTCCTAATAAGTGGACTAACCCGTATATATTCTCTATTTTCTATTTTCTAGAGAAACATGAACACCTAAGATCGTAAACCTATTTAATCTTCATACTATGATCTTACATGATGCAACTATGCATTAAAATACAAATATCTTATTTTTTAATTTATTGTGAAATATGTGGGTTAACCCCTACGAAAAGATCAAATATTTCTAGATAAATGCTACCTAAAATATTTAACCTCTTTAGTGTTATTTAAAAATACATAATCACATTTAAAATTTGTATTAATGTACTAGAATTATGTTCATGAAAATGGACACCAGTTCTAATTTTTAACCGAAAAATTAATAAAACTTCAAATACCACCAAAATCAATGAGCTTTACCTTATGAAATCACTATTTTCTAGACAAAACTTGGACAGCTCAGTGATCAAAACTATTTGATATTCATCCTATATCAATATTGGATGAAGCTAGGCATAAATATAAAAAATCCATAATTTTTTCTAATTTATCTTGAATCTGTGGGTTAACCCTTACGAAAAGATCGAGTTTTTTCAGTAAATGTTATTTGTACTTAAGTTTGGCCTCTTTAGTAATGTTTAAAATATACAAACACATTAAAAATTTCTACTAATGTATCCTAAATTTATTTTCACGGTACATGGGTAGTAGTTATAGTTTTCCAACGAGTAATTTAATAAAACGTCATATACCACGTAAATCAAAGAACTAAACCCTATAAATCTCTATATTCTAGAGAAATTCGGACAACAAAGATGCTTGGAATCCTTGATCTTCATCCTACATTTGTGTTGTATGCATCTATGCATTATAAGAAATGTATCATATTTTCTATTTTATTTTGAAATCTGTGGGTTAACCCCTACAAAAAATCAAATTTTCGGATAAATGCTATATAATGAAGTTTAAGCTCTTTCATGTTGACTAAAAACTACCTAATCACATTATAAATTAATATTAATGTTTGTTAAAATTACTTTCGTGGTACAAGGGCATCATTTCTAATATTTTAATGAGTATTTTAATAAAATTTTGTATTCCACCTAATTCACTGGACTAACCCTTATGAAATCTGTAATTTCTGGATAAACATGGAAAATTAAGGTCACAGACCTCTTTAATTTTCATCACATGTCATTGCATAATGAAGTTATGCATTAAAAATAGAATACCATGTTTTCTAATTTATCTTGCGAAAAGATCGTGTTTTTTCCAATAAATGTTATATATACTAAAGGTTAGCTCATTAATCTTTTAAATACCTATCCAAACTCTAATGCATATTAATGTATGCTTAACATATTTTCATGGTACATAGAAATCATTTCTAATTTTCCAATGATTAATTTTTTAAAATTTTATGTACGACCTAATTTATTTACTAACCTCTATAAGATCTCTATTTTCTAGTGAAATGAGAACACCTAAGGTCTTAAACATCTTTAATCTTCATACTATGTCAGTACATGATGCAGCTATGCATTAAAACAAAAATTTCACATTTTCTAATTTATCTTGAAACATGTGGGTTAATTCCTTATAAAAAGATTAAATTTTCCGTTAAATATTATCTATACTATTTAGCCTCTTTAGTGTTGTTGAAAAATACCTAACCACACTCCAAATTTTTATATATGCATGCTAAGATTATTTTCATAGTACATGGGCTTCATTTCTATTTTTTCTAATTTATCTTGAAATCTGTGAGTTACCCTACAAAGATCAAGTAATTTATAAAACTTATATACCACATAAATCAAAGAACTAAACCTTATGAAACCTCTATATTCTAGAGAAATTGGGACAACAAAAGTCTCAGACATCGTTGATCTTTATCTTATACCTCTGTTGAAGACATCTATGCATTATAAGAAGAATACCGTATTTTCTAATTTATCTTGAAATCTGTGAGTTAACCCTACAAAGATCAAGTTTTCCAATAAATGTTGGATACTGAAGTTTAAGCTTTTATGTAGATTAAAAATATCTAATCACATAATACATTTTTATTAATGTATGTTAAACTTATTTTCATCGTATATGGGCATCGTTTCTAATATTTTAAAAACTTCAGATTCCACCTAATTATGTGGACTAACCTCTATAAAATATGTAATTTTTTTTTATGAAAATGAGGACAAATAAGGTCTCAGACCTCTTTATTTTATCACATGTCAGTGCATGATGAAGTTAGTTATGCATTAAAACAAAATAGCGTATTTTCTAATCTATCTTACCTAAATATCTAATTTTTTCCAATAAATGCTATATATACTAAAGTTTAGCCTGATTAATATTTTTTTAGAAATACCTAATCAAACTATAAATTTATATTCATGCATGATAAACATACAGTACATAGGCATCATTTCTAAATTTCCAACCATTATTTTTTTTACAAATTCAGATATGTTATAATCAGTGGACTAACCTAAGGTCTTAAACCTCTTTAATCTTCATACTATGTCATTACATGATGCAGATATGCATTAAAAAAAATTACCAAAATTTTAATTTATCTTGAAATATGTGCGTTAATCCCTACGAAAAGATCGAATTTTATGATAAATGTTATCTATAATATTTAGCCTCTTTAATGTTTTTTAAAAAAAAATACTTAATCACACTCTAAATATATATTCTAAACTTATTTTCATGTTATATGAGCATCATTTCTAATTTTCCAATTAGTAATTTATTTAAACTTCATATACTACTTAATAAGTGGACCAACCCGTATAAAAACTCTATTTTCTGGAGAAACGAGAACACCTAAGGTCTCAACAATGTTAATTCTCCATACCATGTTAGTGCTTGATGCAGAATTTTTTTAAAAAAAAAAAAAAAATCACATTTTCTAATTTATCTTGAAATATGTGGGTTAACCTCTACAAAAATATTGAGTTCTCCGATAAATGTCTCTTTAGTTTTGTTTAAGAATACCTACCACATTCTAAGTTTATATCAATGTACTAATCTTATGTTCATGGTATATTGACATCAGTGCTAATTTTCAACCCAGGAATTCAATAAAACTCCATATACCAACAAAATCAATGAACTAAACCCTATAAAATGTCAATTTTCTAGAAAACTTTTGACAACTAAGATATCAAAAATATTTAATATTCATCATTTATTAGTGTTAGATGCAGTTATGCATAAATACAAAAATTTCAAAATTTCTATTTTTTCTTTAAATCTATGGGCTAATGCCTACGAAAAAATCAAGTTTTAGGATAAATGTTATTTATACTTAAGTTTAGCTTCTTTAGAATAGTTCAAAATATCTAACCAAATTAAAAATTTATAGTAAAGTATCCTAAATTTATTTTTATGGTAAATGGGCATAAATTATAATTTTTGAACGAGTAATTCAATAAAACTTTATATATGACGTAAATCAAAGAACTGAATTCTATGAAATCTCTATATTCTAGAGTAATTGTGACAACATAGGTGTAAATATCCTTGAGGTTCATCTTGTATCTGTATTGGATGCATCTATGCATTAAAAGGAAATACTATATTTTCTAATTTATCATGAAATATGTGGGTTAACCCATACAAAAAGATCGAGTTTTCTAATAAAGGCTATATACTGAAATTTAAGCTCTTTCATGTGGATTAAAAGTGCCTCTTCACATTATTAATTTTTATTAATGTATGTTCAACTTCTTTCATGGTACATGGGCATCGTTTCTAATATTTTAAAGAGTATTTCAATAAAAACTTCATATTTCACCTAATACTGTGGACTAATCTCTATAAAATTTGTAATTTTTGTAGAAACGGAGACAAATAAGGTCTTAGGCCTCTTTATTTTTTATCACATGTCAATGCATGATGAAATTATGCATTAAAACAAAATACCATATTTTCTAATTGATCTTACCGAAATATCGATTTTTTGCAATAAATACTATAGATACTAAAGTTTAGCCTTATTAATTTTGTTTGAAAAATACCTAACCACACTCTAATTCATACTAATTTATGATAAACATATTTTAATGGTATATGTACATAATTTCTAATTTTCCAACGAATAATGTTTTTCAGAATTCAGATACGTCCTAATTAGTGTACTAACCCCTAAAAAATCTATATTTTCTAGAACAATGAGAGCACCTAAAGTCTCAAACATCTTTAATCTTCATACTATGTCCTTTCATGATGCAGCTATGCATTAAAATAAATATTTCTCATTTTCTAATTTATCTTGAAATATGTGGGTTAACCCCTACAAGAAAATCGAGTTTTTCGATAAATGTTATATATAGACCTCTTTAGTTTTTTATTAAGAATACCTAACCACATTCTAAGTTTATATTAATGTAATAATCTTATGTTCATGGTACATCAGCATCAGTTCTAATTTTCAACCGAGAAATTTAATAAAACTCTATATATCACCAAAATCAATGAACTAAAACCTATAAAATCTCAAATGTTTAGAGAAATTTAGACAACTAAAATATCAAAACTCTTTGATATTCATCATTTATTAGCGTTTGATGCAGCTATGCATAAATACAAAAAGAAATCAAAATTTTAAAATTTTTTTTGAAATTTGTGGGTTATTCAAGTTTTAGGATAAATTTTATTTGTACTTAAGTTTAGTTTCTTTAGAATTGTTTAAAATATCTAACCACATTAAAAATTATACTAATGTATCTCTTGGCATATTCATCTCTAGAATATTCACTATCTCCGAACTCACTAAGTGTCCTGGACGCAAATCTACACAATCTTTGTCAAACTCAAGCCCAAATCTTTTAACAAACAAGCTCCTTATGATTTGAAGCTCCTTAAGCTCGCCGCCGATTCTTGATGCGACAAATATCAGTCCGGCCATTGCTTCTTTAGTTTCATTTGGTAAGAGATGAACATCGCTGGCGAGAGAGACATAAGTAATTAGGGTTATGGAGCCATTCAAGTTTTTAAATGGTACCGTGTGATACAAATCATATGAAACTACTAACCTTTGACGATTTAAAAGAGAAAAATTCCGTAATATGGATGTGCAGAAGTACTCGACCTGATCGTAAGCTGATAACCTTTTCTCGTCCTCATAGAAATGCTTCGTCTATGTTTTTTTCAGTTTTATTATCATGGAAAATTTAATTGTCAGATAAGAGAACTAATTATCATCAAGACATGGATCAAATAATAATAATAAATGGTTACTAAAAGTCAGAGCCTATAATCAAGTGAATTATTGTTACTGGATCTCCAAAAATTCTAAAGTTTTTATTACTTACCTTAGGAAGTGCTTCGAGTAAGCGATCATTAAGAAGGAGATTATCAATATCGGACCGGGACTGTTTAACCATACACTCTCTTCGTCTCCGATGAACCTCAACAGAACGTTGTAGACTCTCGATATAGAGTTTGCTACGAATAAGACATCAGATTAACCAAATACTTTAACAATAAACAAAAACATTTATCCTTTTAACGTAAGTAAACTAGGTTTCTAACCACTTTGAAGCTTGTCGCCATCTTGAAGAACGAAACAAAACAGCAAAAACATTACGAAAGCAACCAGGTTTCGGTTCTTTATTCTTGGCACACGCCGTTTCCTTCCTTCGGTAGGATTGTGAATAGAGCATATTTGATAAAGAAAGATCGAATAATGAGACGTTAATTATATACTGTATGTATAGGAAATACAATCTATTTATATTACCCTTCAAAAGTGGAAGTAAATAAAGCATTTAATATTATGATTTACATATGGTGCTAAAAATCTGAGAAACACACCTTTTCGTTTCCAATATGAATGTGGAAATATACTCTTGTTTGACCAAGAAAAAAAGAATTTGAAAATCCAAATACATTTAATGTAGTTGTTTTAATACATTGATGATACATTATTAGTACATCAGTAATAATAGGAACTCAAAAAGCATTGCATGAGTTTCATCAATCAGCGGCAATTCTAAGTCATCTGTTGAATTTATTAGAACATTTGAACCATTGTTACACACAAAGCTGACAAGGAATACAATCCTTTCAGAGTCAAAAGTCGGGAAGTAATAAACCGCACATCCCGACTTAGTCAAAAGTCGTTTGTTAAATTAATGAAATCAACATTGTGTCTTCTCTTTTTTTTTTTTCTTTTTTTTTTTTGGAACACCAACATTGTGTCTTCTACCATTGTAAATCCGTAACTCCAGCTTTGATCCGTGCGTCTATGCAGATTTTGGTTTTAATTTTTATAAATTATTTAATGATATTTTTGAATATATAGATTATTTGAATATTTTTAAGTTCTTACGAATTTACCTGGATTCGGAAAGATCAGACTCGAATTCGAAAATTTTTAAAAATTTGAATGAAATCTAATTTAAAAACCCAAAAATTTAACATCCAAAAATCAATTCGTACTCGAATCAATATCTAGATGTCCATATCTAAGTAATTTTGTAAACAAAAATTGTTAATCTGGTTGATTTTTTGTTACGAATGAAGTAACTTGTGAAATTATTATGGTTAACACATAAAATAAATAATATTAAATTATTGTAGTAAATATAACTAATGAATTAGTTAGGACAAATGAAAAAAGGAAGATGTAACAAAACACTTTAAAATATGTAAGTTTTGTTTGCAATAAATGTTGTTGAATTAATTAGAAACATAATAAATGAAGTAGTAACAAAACACTTTATAATTAGTTTTAAAATTAAATGAAAACCTATAAAACCACTTAAAAATATGCAAGTATTATTTTGTACTTTAATTTTAGTAGAGTATTAGATATTGATTTGTGCATCCCCATGGATGTTAACTTTGAATTTTGTTTTAAAAATTAATATTTTCTTTTAAAATTAATATTATATATTTTACATGTGTCACCATTAGTTAATTATATACTGCTTATTTGAATATTTATAGAATCTATCATAATCGTATCAGATAATATGATTAATTTTGGCTATTTTAAAGTTATTTTTAGTTTGGATATAAAAATATCTGAACTGAATTAGTAATATATTTATTTTTGGTAAAATATCCAAACCCATTTTAGATATATATTAGTTATTTTTCTTGATATTTTATACATCAGAGCCATACTTATCTAACTTGAGAGAACCTAATTCAAAACCCACCAAAAGTTATAATATTTGAATGAAACTTAATTTTAAACCGAAAATGCTATCCAAAAGAAATGATTTATACCAGGATAGATACCGAATGCGTGTAAATAAAAAAAAAATATTAACCATTTTGAATTCTTGTCACGAATGGAAAATTCCATTGAAACATATTGAATTATTACGGTTGATATAAAATAAATGTTGTCGAATTATTATGGTAAATATAACTAATAAAGTATTTAAGTAGAAAAAGTTAAAGAATGTAAAATATATAATAAAACATTTTAAATAGATAAATTATGTTCGTTATTAATGTAATAAATGTTGTTAAATTATTTAGAAAATACAATAATGAAGTGTTAAGAATTTATTAAAAAGAAAAGAATTTTTTAAAAGCTAATTTAAAAATAAACAAGTATTATTTTATTCTTCAGTTTTAATAGAATACATTTTTTCTTGATATTTGTAAATCTAGGTGTACTCTTGGTGGTTTTTACTTTAAAAGACAACTCTTCTGTATTTAATTGTACTCTTTATGGGTCTTTTACCGGCCCATTTGTTGTTTAACTTTAGGCCCATTAAAAGTTCGGCCCATCTTATAACATCTAAACGCAGTCATTTTGCTCGTCAAACAAGTTGAAACAGCTTGTCCCATAGGTTTAACTTCTGTCCTAAAACCCTAAAAAATAATTTAGCTCTTGTTTACGCAAATTAGAAAAAAAAAAAAAAATCAAATGGGGAAGAAGAGAAAACACAGCGAGACTGAAGCGGCGCCGCCGGTGAAGAACGACTATTCTGCTCCGGAGAGGCCTAAAAGAACCCTATTAGGCTGGAAAGACAAGAACGAAGATGCTGAGGAACCTAAAGCAGCGCCTGTGTTCAGGAACAAAGAGAAGGTTCTCGTGACTTGCTCACGTAGGATAAGTTTCAGGTATAGGCATCTGATGTTGAACATAGTGTCGCTTCTGCCTCACTGTAAGAAAGATAGTAAGGTTGAAGCTAAGAGCAGTAAAGGGGAAACTCTTAATGAGCTTGTTGAGCTTAAGGGCTCTTCTTCCTGCTTGTTTTTCGAGGTAAAGTTTCCACCTTTTTTCTATATATATAATTTTGTTATATAGAAGTAAGATGACGACATTGGTCTTAATGTCACCGTGTCTTAATAAGCTGTAAAATCAAATGTGGTCTTAATTTAATTTTCAAGAAACTGAAGTTGGTAGGTGTTTGTATGTTTTGGTGTTTCAGTGTAGGAAGCATAAAGATCTGTACATGTGGATGGTTAAGTCACCTAGTGGACCCTCTGTTAAGTTCTTGGTTAATGCTGGTAATATCTCCATCCTCTTGTTCATTGTTTCAAGAAGAGATTGATTTTAGCTTTAAATCTGACTTGTGTGTTCGTTGATTCTGTATATGGTGTAAGTTCACACAATGGAGGAGCTGAAACTCACTGGAAATCATCTGAAAGGGTCACGCCCTCTCTTGACGTTTTCATCTAATTTTGATAAAGATGTGAACTGGAAGCTTTTGAAAGAGATGTTAACACAGGTTATTATCACATTCACTAATGTTCCTGGTTAGTTGGTTTGTACCGATTTTAATTAGGTTTCTCTCCTATCTCTTGTAGGTTTTTGGAATCCCCAAGGAACATAGAAAGTCTAAACCGTACCATGACCATGTGTTTGCTTTCTCAATTGTCGATGACCATATATGGTTCCGTAATTACCAGGTTAGTTCAACATCATTGGCACCTTAGAGATTATTTCCTTTTTTTGCAGCTTGAGTTATTTAGTGAAGGTCTGTTTTTATTGTCACATTGCAGATATCTGTACCACATAACGAGGCTGACAAGGTTGCACGAGGTGGTCTTGATAAAATGACTCTTGTCGAGGTATGGCTATATAACTACTAGTAACAACAGTTTGCGTTATTATGATGAATTGGTTCTGATTGAAATATATAATCTGATGACAGGTTGGTCCAAGGTTCTGTTTAAATCCGATTAAGATCTTTGGAGGCAGCTTTGGAGGTCCAACGCTTTACGAGAACCCATTCTACGTATCTCCAAACCAGGTACTGTCTTATCTCACCACATACATTTTGATGATGCACCTTTTAATTTAATTTCTTTCAATTTTTGTTCTGTCAGATTCGAGCATTGGAGAAAAGGAATAAAGCTGGGAAGTTTGCTAAGAAAATAAAGGCAAAAACAAGAAGAAAGATGCATGAACTCTCCAACCCATTGGAGCCTGATGAGTTTGCTGACATGTGGAAAGATGATGAATGATACCAGCTTGATCAAGTCTTTGTTCTTGTTGTAGACTTTCTAATTCACAGCATCAACACATGTTTGTCTTTACTGTTCGTGACTCTGTTTTTTGTTCTCTCCCTGTATTAATCGTAGTTTGAGTTTGTTTCCTTGCAATTAAAGATTCAACAAGTAAAAAGTTCCATCTAAAGTTCTCCAAGGTTAGCAAAAAAAAACTAGAAGCAAATGAATCTTAGTTTCTTTAAGCTTGAAGGGCTCAAAACAACCAACATATTTTTGTCAAGAATAATTGGTATGTCCTTTTCTACAACATTTTGTAATAGTGTGTCTTGTTATCACTTACATATAGGGTCTATCTTTCAATCAATTTTCTCCTCAATGGTAAAGACGTATCCTCTGTGCAGAAATAATTACACATGTCCTCCTTATGAATGAGCTTAATTAAGATTTTTGTTGAATTAACAATGGATGTTACATCCCCGCTTAACTTGGAGGTAAGAGCCCTTCAATCATAAAGCATTTGAACGTCAAATTGTTGGAGGTCTTTCTCATCTTAGGGAAATGTAGTTTTGAATGTATGTATGAAAAAAGGTATTTGATGGAAGCCTTGTAATGTATCATCTCAGTTCAGGTTATTATAAGCTTCTATGCAACAGCTGAACATGAGAAGGAAAGACTTGAGTATTTGGGGCGGGGAGATATCTGCAATTACAATCAAAATAGCACCGGATCCCACGATGACCATGTTTTTTCTTGACCACGCATCATCAACCCATCCACCTAACCAAATATATATTAAACATCAAAAGTAAATAAGGTGATATATATTTGGAAAAATAGAAAAATATGAAAATTTAGATGAGAACTAGATTTTTTCCCCGCGCTTAAAAAGCGCAGATATTATTTTTGTTGTTTTATCTACATATGCATCGATAAGTATTTTGCTTTGATGATCAAGTTATTATGTGGTTATAAGGAATTTTTGTTTTATAATGTTTCAGACAATTTTTTTATGTTTCTAAATAAGTTAATAATGGTTGTACCGGAAATGTGTACTTGAGAACAAATTGTATATCTAACAATTAAATGGTCTAATTTTTTTTTAGTTTTGTGATTAATTCGTAAAATCATTTAGTTACAAATTTTTAATCGCTCAGTCCGACCCGGCCAGTCCAATCCGCTCCGTAGCGGGTTGAGTCATTTTTTCGACTGAAAAATTTGACCCACCTGACCCGCAAAGAAAATGTATTTTTGCAAGATTTTTTTTTTTATAAAATTTGAAAGAGAATCAACCCATTAATAAAACCCATTAGTATATAGTTTCTAGGTCCAAATAAAAAAAATTAAAATATCATTAATGCAAAATTAAATTTATTTATAAGATTAAAGGTAATTTAAGAAAACATAAATCATTCATTAGAAGGAATGATCTTATTTTAATGGTATTGATTAGACAAAAACAACATCTTTAACTTTATTACATGTCCTTATGAAACTAACACTTGAAACAACATCTTAATAGTGTATTTTGTTTCTACAAGGTAAATTACATTTTTGTCTTAGTGAATCTGTCAGTTGGCTTTTAACTTGGGAATGACAAAATAACCCCTGAAGACGAATGATTTATATGCTCGCCAAGATCATATCTGTCAGTTGGCTTTCTTTTTTAATTCATAAATTTGTTGAGGTATTCTTTTTTTTGCAATTTCTTATATTGTTTCTCTCTCTATAATGTTTATTAACCAAGTCTTAACCATTGTGGGATGTGTGCTGACTTTTTGTAATAGTGTCTTGCTATCACTTGTTTATAGGTCATCTATCATCAATCAAACAAGTTCAGTGTTTGTTCAAAAAGTAAGTCTAAAATTTAATTTGTTAAAGAATATCACTTTAAAAGTATTACTGAATATCAATTTAAAACATTTTTATGCGATTTTTTAAGTGATGTTGGCTTTTCACCTGAAATGACAATATCACCACGAGCGGCGTTGTGAGTGATGTAAGTAAAATGCTGTGAATTTTCAGTTTACCTTTTTTAATTTAATTAAAAATAGTTTGGCGGCATTGAACTAAAAATGATGATATAGCTCATGAGCCCGACGAAGGATTTATATACTATCTTCAGATCAAATCTTGCGGAAATACTTGAAACGCAAGCAAGAACACATAAAAACTCATAATCTCCGAATGCATTTTTCTGAAAGTTTATGTTTCATTTATTCAATAATAAAATCTGGACTTCTGGTTAACAATAATAACCAAGGTAATACAATACCGTTTTTCAGTCCGGTTTCCCAAGCATAGCTGTAACAACAACAACCTCAGATGTCTTATTGCAACGAAGTTAATAACAATGATTACAATACAACTCCAGATTCAAGTAAGGAAATTCTCAACAATCACAATGCGTTTCTTGAACACGCATCGGCCTAAACAAATATATATTAAACATCAAAATTAAATAATGTGACATATATTTGGAAAATTAGAAAATATGAAAATTTAGATGAGAATTAGACAAAAACAACATCTTAACTTTATTACAATGTGCTTATGAAACTAAAGCTTGAAATTTGGAATATTCAGAAAATGCATAAAAAAAGTTGGAATGTTTATTAAGCAAGTTTTGTGACAGTTGTGGGAAGCGTGATGATAATAGTGTATTTATCCCTATAAGGTAATTAAATTTTTGTCATTGGGAATCGGGTGAGTTTTTCTTAGTTGACTTTTAACCTGAAAAGACAAAATAGCCGCATAAGCTGAAGGACTAAACGTTCAAATCTTGCACAAAACAAGAAACAAAGCCAAAGAAAGAGAGAGAGAGAGATAGAGACTCAACCGTCTCCCAACTGAAAATTTTCTATTTGATTTTCTCACAGTCGCATGGATTTTTAGAGTCTCGCATGAAAATTTCTATTTGACTTCGCCACAAGTCGTGGGAGGATCTGTTTACTCATTTGATTCGGTCAGAGATGCATATTTGTAAGTGTTTTTGGCTCTCTTTGGCTGGCGTATATATTATAAGATGTACATCATAATTGCTTAAGTTTATTGATCATCATATGTACTATATTTATAGAGTTTACATGGAGACTTTGCAAGAGTCTATATACACAAGTAGTCCTTAAAGTATATGACTTATCTAGATAACATAGTTATCATTATCCCTTAACATAATTATCCCAATATATATGATGTTTATATGTTGTGTTTATAGGTTACATGGATAATGCACTATCATCATGTTCGACGTCCGTTCCGTTCCGTTCCTTCACAAGCAAGAGTCTCATACTGGTACACGTTTATTCGCCAAATATGTGGAAATATACTGATTGTGGTTTGTGCTAACAAAATAGATATATTCAGCAAGACGTCAATACATATTGTGATATTCCTCTAAACCTATTTGAAGGTTGCGTGTATTGAGGTGTCGGCACTCGCAGGTTGCAATTTCGAGATGACCTAGCAAAAATGTTGACTGATTACCACAATGGCCTCCTTGAGATAGACCGAGACTCTTTCACCCTTTTTGAACCTTGACCTGAAGTTCCCACCGTAAGTCGCTATGATTTTGACTACAATTTTCGCTGGCAGCAGCAGATTTAAATCTGAATAATTCAAAGCAGTAGTTTCTTCTCGTTTAGATGACATATTTGCCTGTTATGACAATGTTAAAGGAACTACAGCGATGAAGAGCTGATACATTTCTGGATATGGATTAGAGATGTTTGAACGCTATATAGAATTGTTTAGTTGTTTTGGATGTATGGAAATAATGGTACTAACTAAAGCAAACACTTGAATATACCGATTCAACTGAAGCAATGCATGTTAATCAAATATGGAAGATCAGTCTCTATCAAGAACATTTTTTGATGTGGAAAAATTAAAAAGGTTGGCAATCTTACTATTTAGACTTGCAATGTTGGACCAAGGTGTTGTTCAACATGGTATTGAAAATAGTCATACGGTATCGTAAACTGACAAATGGCTTTCAACTGATATTGTGCTCAAACGGTTGGAGACTGCCTGGATACATAACTCTTTGGATTACATCTATAAATCTCACAGTCGAGGACACGATACAATATTTTTTAACGGTGATAATGGATAATAGCATACCTAGACCTCATATGATATTACCAATTTTGATTCAGTGGAGGTTATGGAAGTCGAGGAATCTACTTTGCTCACAGAAAGACATCTTGGCTGATATATAAAACCCAACATACTAGGTTGGATGTTGCCGAGTGGATTATGATCATAACAATTTAAGTTTTTTCCATTTTTTTCATACAAACGGTAAAAAAAATTGTGAATAGAAAAGAATACGACATTCCATACTTGCCAAAAAAAAATATTCCATACAAATGTTATTATTTCATTCTATTTTTTGACAATCCAGATACAACCTATACGGAGTCAGCCTTAAAAATATAGAGGTTGGAAACAAATTTAAAAATAAGGCATGTTAATAAATAAAGATATAAGTAATCAAATTAAAAAGAAATATGGTAATGCTGATTGAGCCCTCCACATTTTTTATAATTTAGGCAGCTTTCACCACCAAGCTATTGAAAATTTTACAGTCAGTAAAGTATTAAATAAAATGAAGGCCGGAAGCCCAAGTTTCCTTCTCTTCCGGTCTGGGTTGTATCTGCCTATATCTATTAAGTTGATTTCTTTTAAAATTATTTTTTTTTCTTACTTTACTTAATTTTGTCTTTACACATTTCCATGCTTAATTGGTTGTTTTTTTTTCATTTTATATAAACAAACTCTATGTGTTTTTTTCGACTAGAGAACTTATTTGCAGAATCATTGTTTACGTACGGTTTAAGAAACCGTGGACAAGACTGGAACAACCACCAACTATATAAATAAAAATATAAATTTATTAGCTAACATATCAGCTTTTGTGGTAAAAAAAAATAGCTAACATTATCAGCATATAAATGTTCCCTTCAGAAATTCACACTTGGCGAGGGAAAATATAAAAAACTCTTTAAGTTGATTGCTAAAGAAACAGAAATCACTACAAAAAGGTTAGATTAAATCATTTATTTTATATATTTGTATTACTTATAAATGATGTAAAAACATTTTACATCACTTAGAAAAATGACTTACTTTTTGGTGATGCAAATAATTTGTATCATTTTGTTTAAAATTAATGTAAAAATAACAAATATTTTCATCAATTATTTTTAAATGATGTTAGTATGTGTCAATTGATAAAAATGATGTTACCATTTACATCGTTTGTTCTAAATGATGTTTGTATTAGTGTCAGTTTAATAAATTGATTTTAATTATTTGCATCATTTATGATTACGTGATGTATAATTAATATCAATTTTTAAAATGATGTTAATGTTAGTATCAGTTAAAAACATCGTTTGTTCTAAATGATGTTTGTATTAGTGTCAGTTTAATAAATTGATTGTAATTATTTGCATCATTTATGATTACGTGATGTATAATTAATATCAATTTTTAAAATGATGTTAATGTTAGTATCAGTTAAAATGATTTTAATTATTTATTTATTAATAAATATAAAATAAAATTGATATCAGTGATTTAGTTATTAATAAATAAGATAATACTGATTTCGCTTTTTAAAGTAGCTTAATAATTATTTGTTTTAATTTAAAATTAATAACGTCAATTATTAAAATATTACTGTTACTTTTATATGTATAACGTCAATTAAGTCAATAAATTTTATGTCAGAATTTTGTTTTGTATTCATAATTTTTTTATTGAAAATACAAATACAAAGGAGAAAACAACATTAAAAAGATTTATAAAGAAGTCTCAAGAAAAAGTGAATTAAAAGAAAGAAAACATTGTAAAAAAAGCCATGAAAATTCTTCACTCCAGATTTGTTTTCTTTCTTCTTGTATATTTCCATCTTCCCTTAGACTCTTATATCTGGACGCTCCTCATCAGTCATTTTCCTGGAGAATACATCAACACCTGACCAAAATTAAGTTTCTCCTCCAATGCCTATAGCTTCTGTTGAAGTCATTAGTATAAAAGGCCAGAAGAGAATGAATACATATAAAATATTTAACCCAAAAAAAAAAGAATCAAAAGAAGAAGAAAAGCAGAAAGAAAAAATAATACCTTTTAAAAGATTACCATCAAATTCATTGGAAACAAAAGCGTCATCATCATATAAGAAACAAAATAGTTTAAGCCGATCGCATGCTAATGGGACGATTACTCACATAAGAAAGAAATTTTGATGGTTTGTTAATTATTGGTGTTTAATCCTCCTATACATTAAAAGAGAAGTCACTTGGACACGTGTCGCTCACACAGGTCTTCTCAGAGAAATTCTGACAATCTGATTGGTTGATTTTTTTCAATTTTCTTTGGTATTTTTTTAATTTTCGCCGTGCAAATGGTTTGACAATCGTATCTCATATATTCGTTTACCTTAATTACTTGCCTTATATAATATTCGGGAACATTAATTAGAGAGCTAACATTAATTTTGGGAATCTTATATAATATTCGTTAAATCGTATCTCAAATATTTGGTTACGTTAATAGAGAGCTAACTTTATATTCGATAACTTGCGAAACAAGCTGGAAATTAAATGCCAAAGATGTCAATCTCATACCATTAGGAAAGCTTGACAATATATATACGATGTCCCTTCTTTGACAATATATATACGATGTCGTCAACGCAATTGCAGTGAGAATGGCGAATAATGATTTGAAGACATGGGTTTCGGACAAGCTG